TTAAATTATTTATTTTTCCCACACTCATCATGTTTTCAATACTAAAAAACTGTTCTAAACGTCCTTGATTTCAGTATCTAAATACGTACGTCCACTTGAAATGAGAATTCAAACCCTTTTTCCTATTTTCTACCTCTTCTTTTATATCTTCCTTTGTCTTTTAGTCTCTTTTTCTCAATTGAGATGTAATTGTCATAAATTGAATGACGGTGTGAATCTCAATCTACAATTGAAACGGATCGGGTTCAATAAAAAAGCGGGTCACCCACCGCAAGCCCCACATCAAACTAAAAGACAATTTAGGATTCATCCACTTTTTATTACGAAGTTGTCTTTTAGTATACGTTGCGTTTGTGCCCATCCCGACTCATTATTTAACATAAATGTTTTCATAAAATTAAAATCGCATCAAAAATTTGAGAACCGGTCCATAATTCTATACATTGAAACCATTGTAACGGTCGTGGAATTGACCGGTTGTCTTGCGAAAAAATCGATTTTTCACAAGAATACTGAATTTAGAAAGAGTTTATCAAGTTCATTCCATCGATGTTATTGGGAAAAACAAAAATAAAACGATAACTGCAAATATTCCGTGCCTCAATTGGCAAATCTACCAATTAAAAGAATTCAGCAAAATTTGCTGCCTTCAATATCTTTTATGTGATAATAGTACTGAATGAAATTTCTAAAAATAATTAATTATCTCTTTCGGAAAGTAACAATTATTTTTCTCCTTTCAGGCTAGATGCAGTACTACATTTTGTACAGCATAATGTGGAAATTCATTAGAATCTACGAGGTTTTTCTCATATAAATAAAACTTGGTAAACTGTGAGATTAGAGAAAATGTTCTTTATTTTTTATTTTTTATTTTTTATTTATGACGGGGGAACCCGCAGTCGCTACCCTTCGGGTGCGCACTGGATAAACCCTCGAGTTGGCGTAATAGCCTGCAAATCATGCCAACCAAATAAACCGTAGACAAGCCCTGTGCGATAGGCTCGATCGAGAAAGTGTTGGTAAGGGGAATCGAACTCGTAATATATACATAATATATATCAAGAACGAGTCAGAGGAAAATTAGAGAAATTTAAAGAAATTAAAATTATCTAATTAAACAGCTTAATGAAAAAATATATATCCTGATGAAGTTACTTTAGTCCAGTTTTCTTTAAAAATTCTTCTAACAAAAACAAAAGTACTTTAGAAAAAATTATTCAAAAGCAATATCTTAATATCAAAAGCAACTTTTGAATTTTCAAAAACCTTACCAAATGGTCCCGAGCGTCTACTCTTCCTCTCTCAAATTAAATGCGAGGTTGCAATTTTCAATTGAGATGTAATTGTCATAAATTGAATGACGGTGTGAATCTCAATCTACAATTGAAACGGATCGGGTTCAATAAAAAAGCGGGTCACCCACCGCAAGCCCCACATCAAACTAAAAGACAATTTAGGATTCATCCACTTTTTATTACGAAGTTGTCTTTTAGTATACGTTGCGTTTGTGCCCATCCCGACTCATTATTTAACATAAATGTTTTCATAAAATTAAAATCGCATCAAAAATTTGAGAACCGGTCCATAATTCTATACATTGAAACCATTGTAACGGTCGTGGAATTGACCGGTTGTCTTGCGAAAAAATCGATTTTTCACAAGAATACTGAATTTAGAAAGAGTTTATCAAGTTCATTCCATCGATGTTATTGGGAAAAACAAAAATAAAACGATAACTGCAAATATTCCGTGCCTCAATTGGCAAATCTACCAATTAAAAGAATTCAGCAAAATTTGCTGCCTTCAATATCTTTTATGTGATAATAGTACTGAATGAAATTTCTAAAAATAATTAATTATCTCTTTCGGAAAGTAACAATTATTTTTCTCCTTTCAGGCTAGATGCAGTACTACATTTTGTACAGCATAATGTGGAAATTCATTAGAATCTACGAGGTTTTTCTCATATAAATAAAACTTGGTAAACTGTGAGATTAGAGAAAATGTTCTTTATTTTTTATTTTTTATTTTTTATTTATGACGGGGGAACCCGCAGTCGCTACCCTTCGGGTGCGCACTGGATAAACCCTCGAGTTGGCGTAATAGCCTGCAAATCATGCCAACCAAATAAACCGTAGACAAGCCCTGTGCGATAGGCTCGATCGAGAAAGTGTTGGTAAGGGGAATCGAACTCGTAATATATACATAATATATATCAAGAACGAGTCAGAGGAAAATTAGAGAAATTTAAAGAAATTAAAATTATCTAATTAAACAGCTTAATGAAAAAATATATATCCTGATGAAGTTACTTTAGTCCAGTTTTCTTTAAAAATTCTTCTAACAAAAACAAAAGTACTTTAGAAAAAATTATTCAAAAGCAATATCTTAATATCAAAAGCAACTTTTGAATTTTCAAAAACCTTACCAAATGGTCCCGAGCGTCTACTCTTCCTCTCTCAAATTAAATGCGAGGTTGCAATTTGAATATATATGTTCATTTCTTTAGAGATTTACGTACATAATTAATCGATGAGTCATTCATAATGAAGTACGGCTTAGGTATTATATAAAGCTCATTAAGTGGATAGGTCCCCATTTTAGTACCTTGTTAATTTCTAGAATACCCAATTATGTACGTCAAAAATAGATCAATACGTCTCCTTTCTCACTTGTACACGTTAACTAGGTTTTTCTACTTCATATATCTCTAATTATAATTAATTCAACATTTATTTCTCGGCAAATGGAGATTTCTACTTTTGTGAGTGATAATTCGAAACACAAAATTAGATATTTAGTACTGAATGCATTAATTTTACTTTCAATTAGACATTTCCTACAATTTCTTTCCTATCGAAATGAAAATAAAATGAGACTAGTTGATTTTGAAGCCGAATATTATAGAATTACAAGTAATAAGTTCAAATTCCACCAACTATAAACGAACATTTGAATAATTAATTTTTAATCATCTATTAGCTTACAGCGACCGTCTTATTAGTTAGCTGATTTATTCTTGATTATAAGATTATGACATAATCATTACGATAATTGCACTACGATTAGACTAATAAAAATATTGAAAGTAACGCTTTAATCTTTATACACTATTGTTCTATCATGTACAATGAAGTTGGAAAGATATGTCATGTATTCCAATCAACACTCGTGATGAATTATGTTAGTGCGGTAACATTTATAGAGTAATGATATTTAGCAACACTGAACACCAATTTATAAGGTGACATTAATAAAACATTGAATGAACGGCATAATTAGACGAACGTATCTACTCTATTCTTAATATCTCATCTATATGTAAACCATTATATAACTACTTATGTACAAGTAGCGTTATTCTTAAACGAATCACTTAATTCTACATTTCCTTAAGCCTATTAGTTAACATCACCTAAATTAGTGTTCTAGTACCAGTGATACTAGATAACATTATTCACATTTATATAATAATAGTTGTTCACCAAAATTTCAAGATAAAATAGTTTGAGTCCACGTCATTTAGGTAGGTTTAAGTTTGATGAAAAAAAATAAATCTATGTAGCACTTCATTTTTCTAAATCAACCAAATTACTATTTATCATTTGATGTAGATGTTTTGAAATAGTGTAGATGAAGTGACTTTTTTGTTGATACGTTATCTATATGTAAATCATTATATAATTACTTATGTACAAGTAATATTATTCTTAAATGAATCACTTAATTCTATTTTTATTAAGCCTATCAATTAATGTCACTTAAATTGATGTTCTAGTACTAGTGATATTAGATAGTATTATTCACATTTATATAGTAATAGTTGTTTCCAGTCCTCGTTATTTTAGTTGATTTAAGTTTGATAGAAAAGCACTTCATTTTTCTAAATCAACCAAATTACTATTTATTGTTTGATATACATGTTTTGAAAGAGTGTAGGTGAAGTGACTTTTTGTTGTTAGAACAAAAAAAAAAAGTGACTTTTTTTTTTTAAAAAAAAAAAAAAAAAAAAAAAAAAAAGAAAAAAAAGTGCTCATATAAATGCTCACGTAAACAAGAATACTCATTCGAGCTGTAGGAACATTTACATATCGAATACGAAAATTTCCACCTTATTGGAAGAATAAACATGTCATTTTGTGAAGCAGTGTGTCTATATATATCAGTATTCTTAAAACGTAGACATGATTAAATGGTAAAACCAAACTTCTTCACTAGACATACTTTATAAAACTCTGGTATAGATGGCTTATTGTTGGGCAGCTAGCAATTAAACTTCCGGATTTCATCCCACACAAGAAGAAGATGGCTTCGGGAGTCAAGATGGTGTGATTGAATGTAGAGTAGTCCACCCTTACATTCTTTGATTAATAAATAATTTTAAGTGTCTATAAGTTGGTCAAATATATATAATTTTTAATAGCATATTCTTTAGAATTCTCAATTTTTATTTGATTTTTGACCACGCATTCACTAAAAGTGTAAAATCCACAATTTATAAGCATTTAAAAGGTCAGCCAAACAAAAATATATAACTTTCCAAAGATGGTCAAGGATTTTATACCGAGCCAAGATGGGCTTACACTTGTCACAATATTTGGGAAATTTTGCTTCCTTAACATCAGTAAGAACATATTTGGTAGATATTTTAATTCAATTAACATCAATTTTTGGATCGTTATTTCACTATTTTAATCGTTATTTTTGAATTTTTCTCTTACAAGTAAATTCACTTTATCAAAAAATTAATTAACAAAATCTCTACCAAATAAGTACTATATATATTAGTTAAAGTCGCAATTGACTGCGACGGTGGTGAAAATTGGACCAAGGTGAAATCAATATGAAGTAGTAAATATTTTTTTTTGACATTCAATGCCACGCGGTATTGTGAGGCGGAAAGAGAACTAGAAAGAAAGAGAGAGAGAGACAGCAAACAGCTGACTTTTTGCAAACAATGGAGTAAATGCTCGTTGCTGTCCTCTTTGACTCTTTAGGTGAAGAAGATAATACCCTCTCTTTCTTCTCTCTCTTCTCTTCCCTACGATGTATTAGTCAGCCCTTCGGTCTCTTCTATATATATTTCCATAGACAATGGCCATTCCTTCAGTTTAGACTCCTGTTTCTCTATTTTCACCCGCGAGAAAAGGAAAAAATAAAGCGACCTCTAGAGAGAGAAGAACCCTACTTTGGCAAATTCAAAGTAACATGGGAAGACCACCTTGCTGTGATAAAATTGGTGTTAAGAAAGGGCCGTGGACTCCTGAAGAAGACATCATCTTGGTTTCATACATTCAAGAACATGGTCCTGGAAATTGGAGAGCTGTTCCAACCAATACTGGTAAAATTGTGTTTTGGCATTTTTTCCCCCTTTTCTTTTGCTTCTGATTCTTGTTTTGTTATTATAATCATTCAAAGCTGTGTAATTAATATTCTGCAGCTACACCACCGTCGGTCTTGAATGCACATAAAGATTAAACAATTTATTTATTTGTTTTTATTTATTATTATTATTATTATTTTAAATTTAGTGTTAGTGTTACAACTTTTTTTGTTCCTACTGTGTTTCTCTCTCAGGTTTGCTTAGATGCAGTAAGAGTTGCAGGCTGAGATGGACTAATTATCTCAGGCCCGGAATCAAACGTGGTAACTTCACTGAACATGAGGAGAAGATGATTATCCACCTTCAAGCGCTTCTTGGCAACCGGTATGTATATAGAAATCTTGTTTCGTTATGAATACACACACTAATATGAGGCCATGCAAGATCTTGTTTTTCTTGAATTAGGGTTTGATCTAACTGTAGTCCCAAATGCCAAAACAAGATTTTTTAAGCTTTTATGGGATGGCTGAGAATCTGGATTCATTAGAATGGAAAAATCTTGTTTATTATACTGTTCATGGAACAGAAAATATTATAGGGATCTCAATAGTGGTATGCTAATTTGTTTTATGGTGCAGATGGGCTGCCATAGCTTCATACCTTCCGCAACGAACCGACAATGATATTAAGAACTTTTGGAACACTCATTTGAAAAAGAAGCTGAAGAAACAACAAGGGAATGATGAACAAAATCAAGAAGGGAGTTCAGATTCTCAATCAATTCCAAAAGGCCAGTGGGAGAGAAGGCTCCAAACAGATATTCACATGGCAAAACAAGCCCTATGTGAAGCCTTGTCCTTAGACAAATGGAACACAAATTTGCTTGATTCAAAGCCCTTTCCAGTAACCCTTTCAGAAACTAAACCAATTCAGACATCAACATATGCTTCGAGTACTGAAAACATTGCGCGTTTGCTTCAGAACTGGACGAAAAAATCACCAAATTCCTCTCAAGCTGGTTCATCACAGAGTACTACTCAGACTTCCTTCAACAACCCTTCAATAGGGACAAGTTCCAGTCCTAGTGAAGGGACAATTAGTGCCACAACACCTGAGGGATTCGACTCATTTATGGGCTTCAGTTCTTCCAACTCCGATGTTTCTCAATCTGAGGGCGAACCCAAGGTCAATGCTGCAAATTTCATTCCAGAAGCTGGGACTTTGCAGGGGGAGAGCAAGATAAATTTGGACATTCAAATGCCCCTAACTTTGCTGGAAAACTGGCTCTTTGATGATGCTTCTGCACAAGGAGGGGGAGGATACATAATGGACATGTCTTTGGGGGAAAATGCTGATTTGTTTTGAAAAAAGTTTTTCTTCAAAACAAAGTAGCAGTTTCAGGTTGATCTTTTTGTCTTTTTGGTGGGTTTTTAGGCAGAAGTGTCCTAATCAGTGTCTGCTCCATCTAGATCGAGCACAAAAGGATGGAATCTTCCATATATTGGGAGAGCATAAAGTGTAAATGACTGATCATGTATTGCAATGTTTGGTATGTAGTATTAGATAGAACTGGATAGTAAAAAAAATTGATTTTAACTTCATTTTATTTGTTACTACTTTCCAGTACTATGTAATCCTCCGTACCAAACATGTCATACTAGTAGTGTATATGCACATATGCATGGTTAATTAAATAGGAATAAATCTCTCTTGATCTATCTCCTTAGAACAACTGTTTGTACTCTGTGCACCATTTGGTGTTTATTATGAGAAATGATAATTATGGTTTGAGTTATGATGCTTCCGAATTTACTAATGGTCTGTTCGGTAATGATTATGAGAATTGATTTTTTGACTGTTAAAGATAAAGTGGGTTTTACCTGTAAATGAAGAAGTAAAAAATGATGACTGAAATAGTGAAATAACATTCAAAAAATTAATTTTTTTGGCATATAAAATTGCTAACAAATGGGGCTAAATAAAACTACATTTTGTATGTGGCATATAATCCTGACCGTGAAATGAAATTTTTGGGGGAAAAAAAAAAAAACAACAACAACCAGTTTTTATCACAGTCCTTTAAAAAATTTCAATTCTAAACACACTCATTTTTTGTCTTCCCTCGGACGTAGGCCAAGTGCCGAACCTTCTAAGTTCTTTACTTTCTTCTCTTTTACATTTTGCCTAAAATCCTAATCTGCAGCAGCAAGTCGTGTTATGATTTCAGAACCGATAAAGTTGCAGGCTGAGATGGACTAATTATCTCAGGCCCGGAATCAAACGTGGTAACTTCACTGAACATGAGGAGAAGATGATTATCCACCTTCAAGCGCTTCTTGGCAACCGGTATGTATATAGAAATCTTGTTTCGTTATGAATACACACACTAATATGAGGCCATGCAAGATCTTGTTTTTCTTGAATTAGGGTTTGATCTAACTGTAGTCCCAAATGCCAAAACAAGATTTTTTAAGCTTTTATGGGATGGCTGAGAATCTGGATTCATTAGAATGGAAAAATCTTGTTTATTATACTGTTCATGGAACAGAAAATATTATAGGGATCTCAATAGTGGTATGCTAATTTGTTTTATGGTGCAGATGGGCTGCCATAGCTTCATACCTTCCGCAACGAACCGACAATGATATTAAGAACTTTTGGAACACTCATTTGAAAAAGAAGCTGAAGAAACAACAAGGGAATGATGAACAAAATCAAGAAGGGAGTTCAGATTCTCAATCAATTCCAAAAGGCCAGTGGGAGAGAAGGCTCCAAACAGATATTCACATGGCAAAACAAGCCCTATGTGAAGCCTTGTCCTTAGACAAATGGAACACAAATTTGCTTGATTCAAAGCCCTTTCCAGTAACCCTTTCAGAAACTAAACCAATTCAGACATCAACATATGCTTCGAGTACTGAAAACATTGCGCGTTTGCTTCAGAACTGGACGAAAAAATCACCAAATTCCTCTCAAGCTGGTTCATCACAGAGTACTACTCAGACTTCCTTCAACAACCCTTCAATAGGGACAAGTTCCAGTCCTAGTGAAGGGACAATTAGTGCCACAACACCTGAGGGATTCGACTCATTTATGGGCTTCAATTCTTCCAACTCCGATGTTTCTCAATCTGAGGGCGAACCCAAGGTCAATGCTGCAAATTTCATTCCAGAAGCTGGGACTGTGCAGGGGGAGAGCAAGATAAATTTGGACATTCAAATGCCCCTAACTTTGCTGGAAAACTGGCTCTTTGATGATGCTTCTGCACAAGGAGGGGGAGGATACATAATGGACATGTCTTTGGGGGAAAATGCTGATTTGTTTTGAAAAAAGTTTTTCTTCAAAACAAAGTAGCAGTTTCAGGTTGATCTTTTTGTCTTTTTGGTGGGTTTTTAGGCAGAAGTGTCCTAATCAGTGTCTGCTCCATCTAGATCGAGCACAAAAGGATGGAATCTTCCATATATTGGGAGAGCATAAAGTGTAAATGACTGATCATGTACTGCAATGTTTGGTATGTAGTATTAGATAGAACTGGATAGTAAAAAAAAAATGATTTTAACTTCTTTTTATTTGTTACTACTTTCCAGTACTATGTAATCCTCCGTACCAAACATGTCATACTAGTAGTGTATATGCACATATGCATGGTTAATTAAATAGGAATAAATCTCTCTTGATCTATCTCCTTAGAACAACTGTTTGTACTCTGTGCACCATTTGGTGTTTATTATGAGAAATGATAATTATGGTTTGAGTTATGATGCTTCCGAATTTACTAATGGTCTGTTCGGTAATGATTATGAGAATTGATTTTTTGACTGTTAAAGATAAAGTGGGTTTTACCTGTAAATGAAGAAGTAAAAAATGATGACTGAAATAGTGAAATAACATTCAAAAAATTAATTTTTTTGGCATATAAAATTGCTAACAAATGGGGCTAAATAAAACTACATTTTGTATGTGGCATATAATCCTGACCGTGAANNNGTCCTTTAAAAAATTTCAATTCTAAACACACTCATTTTTTGTCTTCCCTCGGACGTAGGCCAAGTGCCGAACCTTCTAAGTTCTTTACTTTCTTCTCTTTTACATTTTGCCTAAAATCCTAATCTGCAGCAGCAAGTCGTGTTATGATTTCAGAACCGATAAACACAAATTGATGGAGCCATCCTGGGATTGAATTCTTCTTATACATAATTAATATGAGCTTATCAATATATAGAGATAAGACATAAATACATAGATCATGTTTTTACTTTTTTAATATTTTGAGATGATGCAGTTGTCACATGTGACTTGTTTTAATCGAACTGTTTCATTACAAACTTACGGTGGGTATACAAGAAATACAACTTTTAGTTTTACAACAAAATATTTTACACTTTTGCCAAATAAATAATTTGGCAATGGGGAAATACTTTTTAATGACTCCTCATCTTCCAGTTTAATTACACAAGCACAAAGAAAAAGAGTAATGCTATACAACCCCATATTGGATAAAGTGAATATGGTATTAAATAATAAATGAAGTTAAATGGCTCATTTAGTTTCACCTTTCATTTAACCCATCATCTAGAGCTAGCTAGATTGGGTTCACAATTCTAGTGGGGCTATGTGACATTACTCTAGAAAAAAATCATCTTTGTATGGCGTATAAAGTTATATATGCTTAACAAAATGATTTGAAACCTCTAATTTTTATTTTCCTTCGTAATGATGCCTCTAGATTATTATATTATTCAATAAAAATTGCTATTTGGAGGGGACGTAAATGTTAAAACAAAGTAAATTTCTAGAAGCTTAGTATAGGTTTGTTGCCTCGAATGTTTGAAGTCGCTTGAATTAAAGAACTGCATCAAAAACTTGGAAAACCTATCAATTGTACATTAATGACTTGGTGTCTGGACTGATATTATATGTACTATTTGCTTTGGGAGAGTATGATTCAACTTTAAATCTCTCGTAAAACAAAAATTTTGGATTCAAATATTGGGGGACGTGATAAAAAGTCGTAAGGCATAAAACGGAATATGCTCCGTCAAATCGAACAATATATATGATATAATGACTTAGGTCCAAAGGTACTCAATCGATATTAGGATTTAACTTAAATCTTCCATAAGCTAAAGACTTTGAATTTGAATATTGGAGGATGCGTCAGAAATTCGTAAAGGATAAGAAGATATATGTTTTCCCAAATCGGACAATACTTAGGACATAATGACTTGAACTCAGAAGCCAAGTTGTTACACATATTACAACTATGTATTATGATAATGTTTGTCTATCCAGTATTTCATTCCAAAAATAACCTTGTCAAGGTAGATGTTTACTTTGGTGGGGCTAAGGTAAGTTTTTCGCATGTTTCTTCAACTCATGAGTTGGATCATTCACTCACAAAACCTCCATCCACATCTCACTTTCAAATATTACGGTCCAAGTTGGGAGCCACCAATGATACTCCTATCTCGTGGGAGGCATGTTAGAGATAAAATTCTATACAATTTAGATTACTTGTAATCACAATCCTTGTGTGTGTGTGTATTAACTTTTGTAAATTAGTTGTTGTAGATTTACTCTACTCAAACGTGAGTCTAGCAAGATTACTTGTTCTTTGTAATTGTATACGTATATGATTGTTCATATACAACATTATAAATATTGCTGACACACTTAGCAATTTCTAGTTGCTCAATTATTTTTAGCTCCAAGTATTAATCTTTAATTATATATACTTTTTAGAAAAAAGTGGTCACGGTTCCAGCTGAGTTTCAAGGAACAAGTTTGAGTTGCATGTCGAATCTTCCAAACAAGTATTCGTTCTTGGACTGAAATCCAGAACCAGAATACTGGTCAGCTGACAACGTCAACATGCTTCCACCCTCGACTACCTTTCCACGCCCGTCACCCCAAGTAATATCAGCATCTCGGTAGAAGTTACCAGCTGTAGGGATTGTGAAACAGGCCAGGACCACCGAAAGTGAAAGCGTCAATAAATTTGCTAAAGCTTTAGAATTAGAAATGACTGTTATTTCGAGAAGAATAATTCTCCCTGTCCCGGGTTGGGAGCAGGGTTCTTTCGAGAAGAACACATAGACTGTGTTTGTTTTTTATGAGTGAGAGTCGGATTCTGAAAACCCTTTATACATAGATTTTGCACTCCCCTTTTGAAAACTGTCAACTAAGCTTGACGCCATGGATTGAGAGATGGCCAAGATTAATTGTTTCCGCGCAAGGTTTGAGCCTTTATTATCTCTGGCATGGGTCCACCCTCAGAGGTTCTTTTTATTTTTGTAGGCGGTGCTTGGATCAAAATATACCAACCACGATTACATTGTTCAAAATTATTGAGTTATATACGCAACTTAACCGCAAATTATGATACAAAATTAAATCTCGTATTTGATTCTTAAATCTCATTATGCAATATAATTATTATTTTTTTAAAGATAATAATTTAATTAGGCATCATATTTTGTATTTTCAGTGAACCTTCTCGTTTAGATAATTATAATGCAAGCCACGTTGACATGTCAAATTGATTAGGCTGTCTTTTCAAGTTACGGTTTGGTCCTTAAATATTATTATTATTATTATTTTAAATTTAGTGTTAGTGTTACAACTTTTTTTGTTCCTGCTGTGTTTCTCTCTCAGGTTTGCTTAGATGCAGTAAGAGTTGCAGGCTGAGATGGACTAATTATCTCAGGCCCGGAATCAAACGTGGTAACTTCACTGAACATGAGGAGAAGATGATTATCCACCTTCAAGCGCTTCTTGGCAACCGGTATGTATATAGAAATCTTGTTTCGTTATGAATACACACACTAATATGAGGCCATGCAAGATCTTGTTTTTCTTGAATTAGGGTTTGATCTAACTGTAGTCCCAAATGCCAAAACAAGATTTTTTAAGCTTTTATGGGATGGCTGAGAATCTGGATTCATTAGAATGGAAAAATCTTGTTTATTATTCTGTTCATGGCACAGAAAATATTATAGGGATCTCAATAGTGGTATGCTAATTTGTTTTATGGTGCAGATGGGCTGCCATAGCTTCATACCTTCCGCAACGAACCGACAATGATATTAAGAACTTTTGGAACACTCATTTGAAAAAGAAGCTGAAGAAACAACAAGGGAATGATGAACAAAATCAAGAAGGGAGTTCAGATTCTCAATCAATTCCAAAAGGCCAGTGGGAGAGAAGGCTCCAAACAGATATTCACATGGCAAAACAAGCCCTATGTGAAGCCTTGTCCTTAGACAAATGGAACACAAATTTGCTTGATTCAAAGCCCTTTCCAGTAACCCTTTCAGAAACTAAACCAATTCAGACATCAACATATGCTTCGAGTACTGAAAACATTGCGCGTTTGCTTCAGAACTGGACGAAAAAATCACCAAATTCCTCTCAAGCTGGTTCATCACAGAGTACTACTCAGACTTCCTTCAACAACCCTTCAATAGGGACAAGTTCCAGTCCTAGTGAAGGGACAATTAGTGCCACAACACCTGAGGGATTCGACTCATTTATGGGCTTCAGTTCTTCCAACTCCGATGTTTCTCAATCTGAGGGCGAACCCAAGGTCAATGCTGCAAATTTCATTCCAGAAGCTGGGACTTTGCAGGGGGAGAGCAAGATAAATTTGGACATTCAAATGCCCCTAACTTTGCTGGAAAACTGGCTCTTTGATGATGCTTCTGCACAAGGAGGGGGAGGATACATAATGGACATGTCTTTGGGGGAAAATGCTGATTTGTTTTGAAAAAAGTTTTTCTTCAAAACAAAGTAGCAGTTTCAGGTTGATCTTTTTGTCTTTTTGGTGGGTTTTTAGGCAGAAGTGTCCTAATCAGTGTCTGCTCCATCTAGATCGAGCACAAAAGGATGGAATCTTCCATATATTGGGAGAGCATAAAGTGTAAATGACTGATCATGTATTGCAATGTTTGGTATGTAGTATTAGATAGAACTGGATAGTAAAAAAAATTGATTTTAACTTCATTTTATTTGTTACTACTTTCCAGTACTATGTAATCCTCCGTACCAAACATGTCATACTAGTAGTGTATATGCACATATGCATGGTTAATTAAATAGGAATAAATCTCTCTTGATCTATCTCCTTAGAACAACTGTTTGTACTCTGTGCACCATTTGGTGTTTATTATGAGAAATGATAATTATGGTTTGAGTTATGATGCTTCCGAATTTACTAATGGTCTGTTCGGTAATGATTATGAGAATTGATTTTTTGACTGTTAAAGATAAAGTGGGTTTTACCTGTAAATGAAGAAGTAAAAAATGATGACTGAAATAGTGAAATAACATTCAAAAAATTAATTTTTTTGGCATATAAAATTGCTAACAAATGGGGCTAAATAAAACTACATTTTGTATGTGGCATATAATCCTGACCGTGAAATGAAATTTTTGGGGGAAAAAAAAAAAAACAACAACAACCAGTTTTTATCACAGTCCTTTAAAAAATTTCAATTCTAAACACACTCATTTTTTGTCTTCCCTCGGACGTAGGCCAAGTGCCGAACCTTCTAAGTTCTTTACTTTCTTCTCTTTTACATTTTGCCTAAAATCCTAATCTGCAGCAGCAAGTCGTGTTATGATTTCAGAACCGATAAACACAAATTGATGGAGCCATCCTGGGATTGAATTCTTCTTATACATAATTAATATGAGCTTATCAATATATAGAGATAAGACATAAATACATAGATCATGTTTTTACTTTTTTAATATTTTGAGATGATGCAGTTGTCACATGTGACTTGTTTTAATCGAACTGTTTCATTACAAACTTACGGTGGGTATACAAGAAATACAACTTTTAGTTTTACAACAAAATATTTTACACTTTTGCCAAATAAATAATTTGGCAATGGGGAAATACTTTTTAATGACTCCTCATCTTCCAGTTTAATTACACAAGCACAAAGAAAAAGAGTAATGCTATACAACCCCATATTGGATAAAGTGAATATGGTATTAAATAATAAATGAAGTTAAATGGCTCATTTAGTTTCACCTTTCATTTAACCCATCATCTAGAGCTAGCTAGATTGGGTTCACAATTCTAGTGGGGCTATGTGACATTACTCTAGAAAAAAATCATCTTTGTATGGCGTATAAAGTTATATATGCTTAACAAAATGATTTGAAACCTCTAATTTTTATTTTCCTTCGTAATGATGCCTCTAGATTATTATATTATTCAATAAAAATTGCTATTTGGAGGGGACGTAAATGTTAAAACAAAGTAAATTTCTAGAAGCTTAGTATAGGTTTGTTGCCTCGAATGTTTGAAGTCGCTTGAATTAAAGAACTGCATCAAAAACTTGGAAAACCTATCAATTGTACATTAATGACTTGGTGTCTGGACTGATATTATATGTACTATTTGCTTTGGGAGAGTATGATTCAACTTTAAATCTCTCGTAAAACAAAAATTTTGGATTCAAATATTGGGGGACGTGATAAAAAGTCGTAAGGCATAAAACGGAATATGCTCCGTCAAATCGAACAATATATATGATATAATGACTTAGGTCCAAAGGTACTCAATCGATATTAGGATTTAACTTAAATCTTCCATAAGCTAAAGACTTTGAATTTGAATATTGGAGGATGCGTCAGAAATTCGTAAAGGATAAGAAGATATATGTTTTCCCAAATCGGACAATACTTAGGACATAATGACTTGAACTCAGAAGCCAAGTTGTTACACATATTACAACTATGTATTATGATAATGTTTGTCTATGAATATATATGATATAATGACTTAGGTCCAAAGGTACTCAATCGATATTAGGATTTAACTTAAATCTTCCATAAGCTAAAGACTTTGAATTTGAATATTGGAGGATGCGTCAGAAATTCGTAAAGGATAAGAAGATATATGTTTTCCCAAATCGGACAATACTTAGGACATAATGACTTGAACTCAGAAGCCAAGTTGTTACACATATTACAACTATGTATTATGATAATGTTTGTCTATCCAGTATTTCATTCCAAAAATAACCTTGTCAAGGTAGATGTTTACTTTGGTGGGGCTAAGGTAAGTTTTTCGCATGTTTCTTCAACTCATGAGTTGGATCATTCACTCACAAAACCTCCATCCACATCTCACTTTCAAATATTACGGTCCAAGTTGGGAGCCACCAATGATACTCCTATCTCGTGGGAGGCATGTTAGAGATAAAATTCTATACAATTTAGATTACTTGTAATCACAATCCTTGTGTGTGTGTGTATTAACTTTTGTAAATTAGTTGTTGTAGATTTACTCTACTCAAACGTGAGTCTAGCAAGATTACTTGTTCTTTGTAATTGTATACGTATATGATTGTTCATATACAACATTATAAATATTGCTGACACACTTAGCAATTTCTAGTTGCTCAATTATTTTTAGCTCCAAGTATTAATCTTTAATTATATATATTTTTTAGAGTATTTTCAAGAGACTGTTTAAATATGAGAGACTCTATTTTAAAAAGTCAATTCTTAAAATCATGTTCTAAGAGACTTTGTAAATTAATATTTTAATATAGAGAATGAGTTTGGCTTTCCAAATTTGGAGAGCTGAAGAGCCAGCCTCTTTCTATAATTAAATGCATTCAAAGTGTTTTAATTTTTAATGTAGGAAAATAATAAAATAATTTAGAGAAAATGTAGTACAAAATAAAAGATAGATAAAAATAATAAATATTTTTTGGGAGTAGTAAAATTAAGTGTTAAATATAGTTGGAGCACTTTAAAATTTTAACTTTCTAAATTTATAGATGCTCTCCAAATGATAAAATATGATTTTTTTTAAAATAAAGAGTCTCTTGAGAATACTCTTGAGATGAAAATTTTAAAGAAAACATTATACAGACATTTCCCTGTAAATCCTAGTATTAGAACAAGAAAATACACAACAAAAAATAGTGGAGACCTAATTAAACTACGAGAAAAAATTTCAAACACAGCATATAATAATATTAAAAAAAATAATAACGAATTCATTTAAATTTATTTTTCCAAATTTCAGCGGGGCTACTGCATCAAATTTTATTGTGTCTAGTTTAAAAATGTTATCACTAAAGAGATCACTTGCAAAAATACTTTGGATAATTATATTCACAACAAAATATTTGTTATCTGTATCAAATTTTAATTATAATGAGTTCTCCAATTTTTGTCATTTTGACATTTATTTTCTTAAATTTTTTCCATATAATTCTTATCCTTAATTTTGAATTAGTTAGCACATCCCGTTCTATCTTTGTTAACGTGGAAAAAATATTATGTCAAACTTTTGCATTTATTATTTATCTTGCTTATATAAAATTACGAGGAGCAAATGAGTCTTTTTACTCCCTGTAACGATTTTTTGATAGTTATGAGAGATTTGATATGCTGATAAATAGAAGATGAGGATAAAAATATGATGAAAATTTTTAGGACATAAGTGTAAAAATGAACAAAAATTAAATATATCATTGCAATTAAAATATAAACTATAATTAACTCAAACTCAAAGTGTGATGTGAACGAGCCTCATTGTTTTACTTGGTGACGAATTTATCTTATTTACCCTTTTAGGTGAGGAGCTTGAGTGCTTGACAATTGGTTTAAGTGATATTTTGACAAAAAAACTGAAAATACTGTGGTTTCAAAAATTTAAAACCCCTTTGTTACCTTTCACTAAAAAAATGACATTTCTGTTATAAAAGTGAATAAAAGAGAAGAGAACAGAGAGAAGTTAATAGACTTGTGTGTCATTTATTATGAATCAAAACCTTGTATTTATAGGGTAGAATCAGGGATACAATAGTAATTATTTTTAGGGCTACAGGAATATAATTGTCAGTCACGTCTAAATCCTAATAAACTTACATTTTACAACATTCCTTCTTGAATGACACATTAAAAAATATGTGTCTCGTTAAAATCTTGTTTGATAAAAATCTAATGGGAAAAAAATCAAACGAAGGAAAAAGAGTACAGTTATTTTGGAGTACTAAAAATAAATGCAGCCTCATTAAAATCTTGCTAGGAAAACTCAGTGGGACAAAACCTAAACTATGGAAAAAGAGTACAGCCACTCTCCCTGAGCTGATTACTAAAAATTTTTGAGTCGACGCATTCCGATATCGTGAACTAATTTCTCGAATGTAGATGTTGACAGTGTTTTTGTGAATGGCCACATTGTCATTTGAGAGAATTTGTTGGATATCAATGTCACAATTCTTCTGAAATTCATTGTATGATAGAATTTTGGAGAAATATGCTTTGTCCTGTCACCTTTGATATAGCCTCCTTTGAGTTGTGCAATACAAGCTGCATTGTCTTCATACAAAATTGTTAGCTATCCTTTTTTGAAGTTAATCAGCATGATACTTAGTTATGATGGGTCATGTTTCTCAATCATACACATTCTTTACCTGGTTCATGGATTATAAAAATTTCAGAATGATTTGAAAATATTGCTGTCAGGAATCGCTTCACAGATCTCCATGATATAACCATTCCTCCACGTGTAAACGCATAACCTATTTATGATTTAATTTTATGTGGGTCAGATAGATAACATGCATCTGTATATCCCATTAACGCAGATCCCTGTCTGCTCCATCTAGATCGAGCACAAAAGGATGGAATCTTCCATATATTGGGAGAGCATAAAGTGTAAATGACTGATCATGTATTGCAATGTTTGGTATGTAGTATTAGATAGAACTGGATAGTAAAAAAAATTGATTTTAACTTCATTTTATTTGTTACTACTTTCCAGTACTATGTAATCCTCCGTACCAAACATGTCATACTAGTAGTGTATATGCACATATGCATGGTTAATTAAATAGGAATAAATCTCTCTTGATCTATCTCCTTAGAACAACTGTTTGTACTCTGCGCACCATTAGGTGTTTATTATGAGAAATGATAATTTTTGTTTGAGTTATGATGCTTCCGAATTTACTAATGGTCTGTTCGGTAATGATTATGAGAATTGATTTTTTGTCTTTAGAGAGAAAAGTGGGTCCTACTTGTGAATGAAAAGTAAAAAATTATGGCTGAAATAATGAAATAACGATTAGAATATTTCTTTT